GGGGTTAAGACACATAAAAGACACCCGGGTGACCNAAAAAATCACGAAGAACTTCTATTGGGCATTGTCTCTTTCTTAGTAATAATATATAATAATATCCTTGCATTTGTATAGTGTCTTTCATGTCTGCAAGATTTCCCAAAGCAACAACAACAGCAACAACTTCACATAGCGCCCCTCACGCAGGATAGCATACCAGAGCGCTTGACAGTGGCGGAGCCTGATGCCAAGTCGGGGGGAGTAGGAGGTGACCATAAGCCCGGTATGACCTGGAAACGGAAGAGGGGGCAAGGCGGTAGGATTGAGAAAGAGGTTTAAGGTTTCGCCCCACCCAAGAATCGAACCTGAGGTCATTTTGCTTGAGAGGCGAGTGCGCTAACCACTACTCTACGAGACTCCACACTCTCTGTGTAAAGAAAATCCCCGTCCTGATATTGTCCTCTGCTGCCCCGAACCTGTGTCCTCTTGGTCTGCTGACTCAGCTGATCTGAAAGCATGGTGTGGGGTTAACATTCTCGCCCAGCAACAATGAATCAGCATCTGTGAATCAGGAATAAAAGGCAATCTAACAGCAGTTTACGGAGCTTCTCCGAGAAGGTGGCTACTAAATTAGCGCCCGAGGGATCTCCAGTAGATATTACCTTATTAAATAATTTAAAGAAAGTTTTTGAAAAGCCACATCGTTGAAGGAGTTTGAAGAAGTTGAGGTGTTACGGAATAAGTGGGAGAACAACTAATTGGATTAGAAATGTATAAGACAGGAGAACACAAGGGGAGAGTGATAAATGGATAGATCTTGTAGAGGAGCGAGGACTGATGTACCCCCATGATCTGCATATCTTTTGGTTCTTCACTGCTCAGTTTTCTTTGATGACCTGGAGCAGGCGATTATAATAAGCATCAGTGGAATTGGCAGATGAAAGCAAAGCGCGTGGTAAAGGAAATCATATGGCAGTGGCACTGAGCTAAGGATTAAGCAGATTTGCACAAGGACGTAAGAAAAGTAATCCACAGATGTATAATGGAGACTGATGTGTCAGCCTGGCTCAGATGGTAGCATTCTCGCCTCTGAGTCAAAAGGTTGTGGTTTCAAGCTCCATGTCGGGACTTGTAGCTCATATAATCTATGCTGACACTCCAATGCTGTGCTGGGGTTGTACTGCATTGTCAGAGGTGCTGCCCTTCAGATGAGATGTCAAATCGAGGTCCTGTTTGCCTATTCAGTTGGACGATAACAATCCTACAGCACTTTTCAAAAAGACGAGGGAGCTTCTCTCTCCCGATGTCCTGACCAACAATCCCCCAAATAAAACTGGTAATTTATTACAAGGCTTTTTGTGGTTCCATTGCTGTGCGTAAATTCGCTGCTGTCTTTTGCCCACAAGATACACCCAGTTACTACACTTTACAGTGTGAAGTGCTTTGAGACGTCTTGACGACATGATAAGGTGGCCTACCAAATTCAAGGCTTATTATTATTATCATCCAGTCACTGAGTTAAAGATTGAAGGAAGGATTTGAACAAGAAAATATGGGTGTTTAATGGAGGCTGATGTTATCCAGCCACCGAGCAAAGCAGCAGCAGATGGATTTGAGCGATGAAGGAAGGAAGGTAATCTATTTAGGTGTGAAAACCATTAATCATGATTAATGTGTGAACAGTTATGTACTGAAGAGCATTAAACGGGAAATAGAATGGATGGGATTATTAATCACTTTGTGAATACATCTGTCAGTGAGAGATGGAGATGGACAAGACGAGGGATCTACAGGATATGGAGGCATCAATGGAAGCAATGAATGTTCGTGCAAGCGTTTAAGACAGACTATTTAAAAGACAAGTTGTATCCTCTATTTCTGGATGGGGGAGGTAACCAGGGTGACCTTGTCTGAGCTGGCTCCAAGGTGACATGCTGGGCAGTGGAATGTGGAAATCGAGTTCACCCTGCTTTAACACGTCTCAATGACCCGGATTTGAATCCTGGGCGGAGCAAAACTTAAGGCAAATTTCCTGACCCCTCGTGTCTCGGTTTACCAGCAGTATGTAGGAACCTGGTTGTTAGTTGATTGGCGGATCGTTTCCCAGGGGTAATAATTATTTGATCGCTCATTACATAACTATTTGTGGGACACTGCTGCATGGTTTGGATATTGCCCACAAAATACACAGTTCATTTACTTTACAGTATAATCTGTGAAGCGCTTTGAGACAGCTCAACGACGTGATAAAGCGTTATATCAAATGCAAGGAAGAACCGAGCCAGCTCTCTGTGGTGGTCTCTATAATAATAATAATAATAATAATAATAATAATAATAATAATCCTTGCATTTGATATAGCGCTTTTCATGTCAGGAGGACGTCTCAAAGCGCTTCACAGAACACACTGTAAAGTGAATTGACTGTATATTTGTGGGCGAACGCGGCAGCCAATTGCGCACAGCAATGTCCCACAAACAGTCGTAGATTGAAAATGACCAATTTAATTATTGTTTTGGGTTTTTTGGAGGGATTATTATTAGGCGTGTGGAGTAAGGAAACTTGCCCAAGGTTTCGCCCTGCCTGGAATTGAACTCAGGTCTCTCACATGCAAAGCAAGTGCTCTGACCACTGAGCTACAGGACTCCACGAGACTCTAGTCTGGTTCCTGAGCCAGGCAGGTCCGCAGTATTCCAGGGTACAGCTGATGATAGCACAACCCAGCCTGGCTCATCGGCAGGACTTGGAAGGGTAGACCAGTCACTGGGGGCAGGGAATCCTCCCACCCAGCTCCTGTTAATCCTACAAGCCAAAGCCCTAATGGGTAGAGTGATCCTAGTGAGCTAAACGGGTCCGTTTCTGAGCTGTGACGTTCTCTGGTCCTGTGATCCTTGGATCGAGTGCTGAATGTTTTGAACGACATTCGCAGTCAATCTGTCACGCTGTCATAAAAACAACTGGTTTCCCAGTGTGAACAATCACAAAGTGTTGTCGGGATGGATTTGAAGCAAACTGCACTGTTGGATTAGTCCTGTGTTCGGTGGACGATTTTCTCCAAGAGGATGATGGTGGAGAGTTTCCAAATGAGCAAGCCTACAGCTGTTCAAACCCCGCTGACTGCGTCTCTATCCCAAAGTTGTTATTCCTCCCCCTCCCACCCGCCTCTTCACTACGTTTTCACCCAAATATTCCCCCCACCCACTCCCCCCCACCCTCCACACACACAAACACCTCCTCAGCTCTTCGTTTTCCCAGCTCAGGCTCCCAATCAGTTGTGTGAAGCACTTCAAGGCATCCTCTGTACTGATGTAAATGGTTTATTGCTAATGTTAATCCTTTACCTTTCTGTTCTCTGTGGAACTACTGGAGTTTGTTTAAGAGTCAGTTGCCCCCGCCTTGTATCCAAGGGGGGGGGGGGGGGGAAGCCAGGAATGCTACACTTTTAACCCACAGCTCCTGTATTCCTAATATTTCCGCTTCCCCCTTTCCTCCAGCTGTTTTAACCATGTTCTCTGGGGTTGGATGCTGTGCACTTTGCAACTGTTCATTCTGCAAGTCGTTCGACACCCAAGTCATTTGTCTGAATTGCAGTCGGCGCAATTTAGACAATGAACCGTGAATGAAAGGAATTTTACAGAAATGTATTGCTGTATGTGTGTGTGCTCACCCTCCCTGCCCTCCACCCTTTCTGATCCCAACACCCAGCCATGGTGCAATCCTTGACTTCCAGAGCCTTGTGACGTCCTGCCAATGCGAAAGGCGCTATATAAATGTAATTTGATGCTGTTGATTGTATCCGTGCGCTTACACAGGGGTATTGTACATTATGCTTCTGTTTAGAAAGTTAACAGATGGGGAGAAGCGAATTTAGAACTGTTTAACAATGAACAAGCAATTTACGTCAGTGTATGCACAGAATGCCACAAACTATTATCACACCAAAGGCCGCAGATAGGCTTGAAATGTCGCTAAACAGAGTATTTTCTTTCAGTGTTAAATTGGTCTTAGCAGTTTTACCTTCCACCTTGTGGTTCAAGTGCGTTGGATATATATTTTGTTGATCAGGCCTTTTTTTTTCCTTTCGTTTGTTACAAAACGAAAACTGTAGCGGACAATATATTTGAACCCACGGTCCCTCTATTCCTCATGTTTCCTTCCCTCTCCACACACCCCACATCCGACTCTCAGACAGGCTCAACCGAGTTTCCTCAGGATGGATCCAGTGTGCATGTTGCGGCTGGATTAAGCGCTCCCGAGATGCTACCCCGCGTGAAGGGTGCTATATAAACGCAAGGTGTTGGTTAAAAAAAAGGTTGTCCCATTACGGGTCGGTGGCCAGCAAGAAATATTTAGAGCAACAAAGTAACATCGCTTCTTAACTGAGATCTTTTTGAAACCACTTTTCTGGGCTTTAACAGTTCAGTTTCTGATGTGTAAACAGTGGTGAAGGTTTGGAAAGGTGTTCGCAGTCGATGCGCTTTCACGCTGGTCATATAAATGATTGCCTGGTGTGAAAAATCACGAAAGGTTCTCAACATGGATTTGGAACAAACTACAGACCCGGGATTATTAGGAATTAATATTATTATTATAATTGACAGGATTGTTAGTTGATTGGCGGATGGCTGCCCGTGGGTAATAATCCCTCCAAAACAGTCACTTAAATCTACGACTGTTTGCAGGACATTGCTGTGCGCAATTGGCTGGTGCGTTTCGCCCACAAAATACACAGTCAATCCACTTTACAATACAATTCGTGAAGCATTTTGAGACGTCTCAACGACGTGATAAGGCGTTATATCAAATGTAAGGATTATTATTAATAGTTGCGGGCGGGAGGGGGAGTTTGTTTGAGAAGAAAACAAATGGTGGAATGTTTCCAAATGTTGCTCTAAATATTTCAGCAGCGATGTGGGGAGGTGGGGGTTATGCATGAAAATAGACAAAAGGAAGGGAGGAGAGAAAGTTATTGCGGGACTGTGCGATGGCGGAGATTTGATGAACCTCTATTCTGTCTTTAGAGTTTGGATTGATGGCAGAGCATACAGTAAAAAGCCAGCGACCTCGATCAGTTCATGAGAAAAAGGTCCCTCAGGAACAAGCTGATGCTGGTAAAATTATGGCACATACTGGTAATTAATTCGCGAGTTTATATTCCTGTCTTCATTCTTTCAAGTTAACAAACCCATTGCATGTTTTCATAAATCGTTGTTTGTTTTTCTCTCCCTCTCTCTTATGTTCCACTTGTGCAGCTGATACATCTCTTGCATTGAACCATTTCTTTTTAACTACTTGAACCCAGATGTCTTACCCCCACTCACCCCTCACCTCCCAGCGCACACACACATGCTGCATTGAAGTGGCCTTCAAAATGGTTGTTTGCACAATGTTTGACAATCATTTGATTGTTTTCATGTCCGTTCTAGAAGTGCAACACAAAGAACACCACTTCCAAATATAGGAATAATGTGATTATTTTACAGGGATTTCCTTCTAGATTAACACAAAAAATCAACCGACTGATCAGGAAGCCTAGTCAATTGAAAATACTGAGGTCAATGGAGACAGACATCCTTCCCACTCACCTTCTACTAACTCTGAAAACTGAAACACTAGCGGGTAGGGTGGTCCGAGCTGGATAAGCAGTGGGAAGCTTGCCAGATAGTGCTATCAATGGCAAGCTATGCAGTTTTAGCTGGCTAAACTCCAGGAGCTATCTTCTTCCCTCCACCCCACTCCCCACGCGTTTAACGCTCTGCATCAGGTAAGCAGGTGCATTCCTCCAGCGTGAGATTGTGCATTCCTTTCCAGACACAGGGAGATTTACCGTGTATAGGTGGCATACATATGTGGAACTCTCAGTCTGGTTTGAAGATCTTAAGCACAGTGATTGTTTTTTTCCCAGGGTGTGGGACACCTGACTGACCAAAACAAAAGTTTTGGGGACACCTCACTTCTGTTGGAATTACTTAACCCCTTGAAGTCCAGCGAAACCTTCATCTTTAAAGCAGTCCGTGGATTGGCAAAGCAATTACTCGACCCCCTCAGAGGCATCTGTGTTGTCACAGCGCCCTCACTGATACAAAGGCAGAATGTGTGTGTGTTTCAGAGCTTCCTCAGCAATCAATGATTCTGGAAATAATAATAATATTCAACAATAATAGTAACAATCCATTAAAAAAAAATTAAGAGAGAGCCCTGGGTTCGATTCCCGGCAGGGCGAAACCTTGGGCAAGTTTCCTTACTCCACACACCTGATAATAATCCCTCAAAAAAAGATAATAATAAAAATAAATTGGTGACTCAATCCACGACTGCTTGTGGGACACTGCTGTGCGCAATTGGCTGCCACGTTTCGCCTACAAAATACACAGTCAATTCACTTTACAATATATTCAGTGAAGCTCTTTGAAACGTTTCAATGATGTTATAAGGATTCGATACGGTCGACCACGCTATCCTACTCCACCTCTTGTCCTCCCACCTCAACCTTCAAGGCACTGTCCTTGAATGGTTTAGGTCGTACCTTTCTCACCGTCTTCACTTTTGTCTCTACAAATGGCTTCTCCTCCACCCCCCGCACTATCTCATGTGGTGTCCCTCAGGGCTCTGTCCTCGGTCCCCTCCTCTTCACCCTCTACATGCTCCCACTTGGTGACATCATCCACAGACATGGGGTTAACTTCCACATGTATGCGGATGACACCCAACTCTACCTTTCCTCCTCTACTCTCAACTCCACGCCACCGATGTCCTGACAGCTGCCTGTCTGACATCGAGTCCTGGACGAGAGACAACTTTCTTCAGCTCAACGTGCGAAAAACCGAGGCCCTCCTGATTGGCTCACGTCAGCGCCTCCGCACCTCAGGCGCCGACACCATCAGCATCCAAGGCTGCACTCTCCACCTCTCAAAGCCAGTCAGGAACCTCGGCGTTTTGTTCGACCCTGAGCTGTCCTTTCTCCCTCACATCCGCACCACAACTGGCACCGCCTTCCATCACCTCCGGAACATCGCCAGACTACGGCACTACCTCACCCCTCACGCTGCTGAAACCCTGGTCCACGCCTTTGTCACCTCAAGGCTGGACTATGGGAACTCTCTCCTCGCCGGCCTTCCCGCCCCTCCCTCCACAAGCTGCAGGTCATTCAGAACTCTGCAGCTCGTGTACTGTCCCGCACCAGGCTTCGGACCACATCACTCCCACCCTCGCTCGCCTCCACTGGCTCCCCATCCCCCAGAGGATTGATTTCAAGATCCTCATCCTCACCTACAAGGCCATTCACGGCCTTGCTCCCTCCTACCTCTCCAACCTACTATCCCCCTACCTACCTGCCCGTACCCTCCGTTCCTCTGGCTCCGGTCTGCTCCACGTCCCCCGCCCCAATCGCCCTACCATCGGTGGTCGGGCCTTCAGCCTCTCAGCCCCCAGGCTCTGGAACTCCATCCCCCAGTGCCTTCGCCGCTTCCTCCCTTTCCTCCTTCAAGGCCGGTCTCAAAACCTTTCTCTTTGACCGAGCCTTCAGCTCCCCTCTCGACTCTCTTCCCCCTCCTCGCTCCCTCCCTTCCCTCCCCTCACCCTGACCATTTCCCCCCTCTCGCTCCCTCCCTTCCCTCCCCTCACCCTGACCATTTCCCCCCTGCTCGGGTCCTGACCCAACTGTGCAGCGCCTTGGGACGTCCTCCTGACGTGAAAGGCGCTTTATAAATGGAATCTTGTTGTTGTTGTAAGGCGCTACATCAAAGGCAAGGATTATTTTTATTATTATTGGCCTATAATGCACGAGGACATTTGCACGGGATCTTTACAACAGCTGAAACCGCTGATATTTGCTTGACTCTAGCTTTCATTCATCAACGGTTGAAAAACAAAAGCACTTTAGGTTTGGCGTGGCAAGTTTTAGCTGATCAAACCCCAACAATAACACCCTCCACCGCTTCACTTCCCTTCCCCCCACTCCCAAACCCCCAACCATTGCACCCCAAGCCTTGACTCTTGCCAACCTGCACCTATTACTCTCTTGGATTAGAAGAACAGGGAGTGTGTGAATCCCTCTGAGCTGAGAGAGAGAGAGATCACATTCTATTTCTGGCTGAAAGAATGCCGATGGGTTTCTGCGTGTGTCAGACATCTGGCTGACCAAATTTTTTGTAAAACGATAAATCTCTGTCATGTTTTTATTTATGAAAAATGCTCCAATCTGGCTTCCAGATGGAGAGGTCCCCTATTCTCATGATTTCCTCGCTTGTGCTTTTTGTTGAGTGGTAAAGCCAGGTCGATGAAAATGTATAGCTTTTACTCGTAGGCTTCCTTCGAACGTACCTCGTTGTTTAACCCATTCCTGCTCGGAGGGCAAAGAGAGAGGAGAGAAAATGGCTTCCAAGTCGAGGCTTCCTCAAGTTATTTGTCCACTTCAACTGCACCTTCAGCTATCCTCCTAAACCTCCCTACCCTCCACCCTCCATGATCCCAAACCCCAGCTAGGGTCCAAATCCCTGACTGTCCAGCACCTTGGGATATCCTCCCGACTTGAAAGGCGCTATAAACATATAATTTTATATTGTGTTGTATTGTTTCGTGCTTTCTCAACACTTTATTATTATTATTTGGTACTTTTAAATGAGGCGATTCATAAAATGTTGCGTATTTATAGGCAATGAGTTGATAACTCCCTGAATCACTGAGACTAATTAGCAATTAGTTTTCTCGCTAATTAGTTTTCGAAACTAACATTTTTAGGGACTTGAACGCAGTAGAACCATAGATCCATAGAAATTCAGAGCACCAAAGAAGGGCTACTGTGTCTGTGCTGGCTCTCTTAAAGAGTAAGAGACCTCTCAGACCTATTTATCTGCTGTTAGATAGAAGATAAAGCAAAGGAAGAGGTGGAGTGAATGGGGAAGGTGAGGGGACAAGGAACGGAGAAATGAGGAGTGCAATAGAGGCAAGGGATTGGCCAAATCACCTCAACCCTGTGGGAAACACACCCGTCAGGTAGCGATACATACAGGAACCTTTAGAACAATTGTGAAGTCCTGTAGTGTAGTGGTTAGCGTGCTCACCTCCACAAGCGAGAGGACCCGAATTTGATTCCCAAGCAGAGCGAAGCCTTAGCTAATGTTTGCTTACTCTTAGGCAGGTTTAACTAGCAGTAAGTAGGAACCTGGTTGTTAGTCGATGGACAGATCGCTTTCTGGGGGTAAAAATCCCGCCACAGGAAACCCACGACTGTTTGTGGGACACTGCTATGCGCAATTTGCTGCCACGTTTCTCCCACAAAATACACAGTCAATTGTGCATATTCAGTGCATATTCAGTAAAGTGCATATTCTGTTAAGCGCTTTGAAATGTCTCAACGACATGATAAGGCGCAATATCAAATGCAAGGATTATTATTATTCAGTTCTGACTGTCCTGTCTCCTTTATTGAAGCCAACTGGATTGTGGTAAGTAACTAATGCAGTGTGATTCAGGGAGACAAGACCAGGATCTTAACATGTACATATATCTATCGATTTATCAGTCGATAGACAGATAGGTTCATTTTCCTTAAACTTTGCTTGTTTTTTTTTCCTCCATCCAATGCGTTATTTCATGCGTGCTCTGATTCTGTACCAGTCGTTAAGCAGTGGCCATGTGAATCAGTGGATGTCTGTTGATTCAGAACAATGTGTCACTTGTGGACTTGTCTTTACTCCAGTTAGCGTTCAGTGTGTGTCCTTTTAATTGTCCATTTAGCATTCAAAACGGGTTCTTTCTGCTTGAACTAGAATGGGTAATATTCCAGAAATGGTGAGAAAGTGACACGCTTTCTAACTTACCTCAGAGTTAGTCGCCTAATAGACAGAACTGTTTCAAAAGATTAGTTGTATAGGGAAGGTCCTTCAGTCCTCTTGATCTCCCCCATCCAATAAAACTTCCTAATGTCTTCACATTAATACCATTACTTCCCAAGCATCTAACTATCGCTCATTTAAATATCCCAGTCAATTCTGCTTCCACAGCTTTCAGGGATAATGTGTTTTCACGTGTGAAGATCAAGGTGTCAGTCTGGCTTAGTTGGTAGCAATGCTCTTCTCTGTTGCCTACAAAAATTTAAGGTCCCGCCCGACACATGACATTGAATCCCCTG